GCGCTCTACACAGTAGGCAGTCTAGCTATGGGGCACAGGGCCGGAAGGCATTGGGAGATTGATTGTGACTCAGCAATTGCAGAGATGGAGGTGGGATCTGTTGACCATCTCCTGCCACCGGGGGTGAGCATGAGCCCCAGGACAGAGGCCTGAAGAGCTGGCCTAAAGCAGTTTAGTTTTTTTTTTTTTTTTGTCAACTTGACACAAACTAAGGTCATCTGGGAAGAGGGGCCTCAATTGAGACAATGTCCCCATCAGGTTGGTAAGCTTCTGGTGCATTTTCTTGATGAACGATTGATACAGGAGGGCACACCCTCAGTGGCTAGTGCTACACCTGGTGCAGGTAGTCCTGGATTGTATGAAAAAGCAAGTTAGCAAGCCGTGACAGCAAGCCAGTAAATTTACTCCCTACAGGTTCCTGCCACACTTGAATTCAGGCCTTGACTTCCCTTAGTGTTGGGGACTGGGGTAGGGAAGGGTAAACCAAATAAGCCCTCTTCTCCCCACGTCACTTTTGGTCATGGTCTTTACCATAGCAATAGAAAGCAAAGTCGGACAGGCATTAATGGTCAGCAGCTCTGCCTCTCTCTCGGGCAGTGCTTGAATTAGAAATCTCTGTTTATACTGCAAATCCCCTGTTTATACTTGTTTGGCCTTAGGAACTGTTAAGTTGGGAGCGTAGCCCCAGCCCCTGGCCTGGGAGTTGCTTTGCTCTGGACTCCAAATCCCAGCATGCCAGGTCCTGACCCCTCCCTGGGTGTCCCACTTGCACAGGCTGCTTGCAGAATGTGGCTGATTCCTCCTTTGCTAAGAAGTGGTCCCTACTGTTTCCCAGCACCCTGGGGCACAAACGGGGTGGGGGGAGACGTTGTTTGGCACTCAGCTGAGCTATTGTGCTCTGAGTTTCCTAAGCCCTCCTAGTAAACCCAGCAAAGGTGCAGCTCCATTCCTAACCAGAATAGCAGCACTAACCCCACCCCACCCCTACACTCCTATGAGCAAGAGAGGTAGTCAAGTCCAGTGAGGATGTCAAGGTGTCTGAGTTTCTTGGTTGGAGCCTGCCCCCTGCAGGTTAATGTGGGTAACTGCAGTTCAACTGTGCAGCCTTCTTGCAAAAGCCCCTTTGTCTTCCCCAAGAACCAAAGGAAGTGGATCTGGGAGTTTCTGCTGAAGCCTGCTTTGGGCTGAGTCACTTTCTAGCGGCCATCTTTCTAGAGTGGCCATCTCTCAGCTTCTTCATTTGCTCTGGAAATAGCAGAGAAATAAACTGACTCTTCCTCATGGGAAAAAAAAATTCAGAGTTTTCACAGAGACTATGCTGAGTCCAAACAACCTCTGGTTTTTTTTAAAATATTTATTTATTTATTATGTATACAATATTCTTTCTGCCTTATGCCTGAAGGCCAGAAGAGGGCGCCAGACCTCATTACAGATGGTTGTGAGCCACCATGTGGTTGCTGGGAATTGAACTCAGAACCTTTGGAAGGACAGGCAATGCTCTTTACCTCTGAGCCATCTCTCCAGCCCCAACCTCTGGTTTTTTTAAATTACATTTTCTTTAATTAAGAATAATTAATGCCTTACAAGGGATGGAGAGATGGCTCAGGGTTAAGAGCACTTGCTGTTTTTGCAAAGGACACAAGTTCAATTCCCAGCACCCACATCTGTAACTCCAGTGTCAGGGGCTTGACACCCTCTTCTGACAGGCACACATGTGGTATGCGGACAAAAACCATAAATAAATAAACAAAAGTTAAAATAAACATTTAAAATAATAATTAATGTTTTACTTAGCATACAAAAAATGGGTTTCCCCTACACTATGCTTTCCACTCTCCCAAACAGCCCCTCTTCTGCTTTTACGTCACAGTTGTGTGAGGGTATCTTATGAGATTTTAGGGAGGGAAAGAGGAGAACACATACATGTAAGTGGGCGTGCGTGTGCGTGCGTGCACACACACTTGCATGCTGTCTGTTTGGGGCTTGAACTTGCTACATGAGGTGGGAGTGCTCCTCATTTCAGGCAACAGGCCACAGCAGGAGTCCAAAGGCAAAGTTTTGGGCCCACAAGACAAAGGGCAGCTCAGTTCTTAAAGGCTTCTAAGGCAGAGTGTGGGCTGGAGGCAGCTGCATGGTGAGGAAGCAGGTTCAGTTGACATGTGACCCATGCAGCGTACATGAGTGATGAGTACAAAGGCCCTTGGGGGAGAGTGGGAACACAGTCAAGCTGCTGCGGATCCCAGAGGCCACTGGAGGTCTGGGCCCTACCTTCTCTGTTTGGTCTGAAGGACCCGGATACTCACTCTCTTCTGTGCATGTATAGTGGAGTTGAAGGAATTCATGTCTGGCTTTTACGTTAAAAAACAAGACAAAACAAACAAACAAACAAAAAAAGCCATAGTATTTGCCTTAATTCTTTGAGAGTTTCATGCAATATCTGTTGATCGTAGTTCCTCTCCCCTCCTCCACATAACTCCTCCCAGATTCCTCCTCCCTACCACCCCCACACTGCAGAAGATGGGTGGAAAGACAGAGGTCCTCAGGCTCTCGGGCTCTTCCCGCCCCTCTTCTGCAGTGTTCACTGGGCCTTGGGTGTAGGACTGTGTTGTGGATTGGTTGGTGATGGGCACCCACGAGTCTGTTGCTCTCTGCATGTTGACCAGTTCAGGGTTTCTATGACGGTCTCTGTCTGCTGCAGAAAGAAGGCTCTTGGATGAGGGGAGAGCTCCACTTGAATGTCCACGAAAGGATGAACTAGGAAGTTAGAAATGACTCTGGAAAGTGGCTCGTCTGAAACTCCTGGTGATCTTTGTTTATACCCAGAGCAGAATGCAGAAAGCTGACTGGGCATCCAGGGGAGGAGTTTGATAACTTGGGCTTCCCCCTGGGAGGATCTGGATAGACGATTGATCGTCAGCACCTGGCCGAAGCCAGTGTCTTTGGTCTTTTCTTCTCTCCTGATAGAATTAGATATTTTGAGATGCTTGTTTGGATTCTTGCCTGGAAAACACGAGACTTACTTGTCTGTGAGTGTCACTCGGTCCCTTCTTTTCAGGATGGTAGCAATACTTCCCTTAGTTACTTCTTCTAACTCTTGGTCCCAGGGACCCAACTTTTCTAACCTATTCATGTAATCTGCTCCCAAGATTTGGGGGCAGGGACAATTGTCTGGACACTTGGCCTAGGGAGGGGTCAGGAACTCTCATTGTTCTTTCTTCTTCTTAGAAAAAGTCATTAATTATGCATTAATTTGTTGTGTGTGCTTGTGTGTGTGCAGGTGTGATATTTGTGCACACACACATATGCCATGGTCATTGTGTGGAGCTCAGAAAACAACCTGTGAGAATCAGCTTTCTTTCTCAATCATGTGAGTCCTCTCTCTCTCTCCCCCCTTTCTTCCGTCCTTCCCTTCCTTCCTCCCTCCTTCCATCCCTCCTCCTGTTGAAATAGGAGCAGCGGGGTTGCATCCCCAGCACCCCGGCCACCTGCCAGCTCATGCCCGAAATAACAACACACAAACTGTATTCTTTTAAACACTGCTTGCCCATTATATCTAGCCTCTTCTCGGCTAACTCTCGCACCTGGACTAGCCCATTTCTAATAATTGTTTGTAGCACCCCAAGGTGCGCTTACCGGGAAGATTCTAGCCTATGTCCATCCTGGGTCAGAGCTGAGAGGAGCTATTGCGTCTACCTGGGAGAGCTGAGCATGGCATCTCTGCTCCAGAGAGCAGAGCTATCGGGTCTACCCGGGAGAGCTGAGCATGGCGTCTCTGCTCCAGAGAGCAGAGCTGTCGAGTCTCTCCGGGAGCAGAGCAGAGTCTGAGCTCACTTCCTCTTCCTCCCAGCATCCTATTCTGTTTACTCCTCCCACCTATGTTTTAACCTATCAGGGCTAAGGAGTTTCTTTATTGCTTAACCAATGAAATCAA